GGAAGCGGGTACTGCGTTGTCTTGCTGTGGGTCCTGACACTTTCCTGATGACACCATCTACGTAGGCAGTAATTTATTTGCAGTATTCTTCTTTCCCTTTCTAATCTATGGCCTTTGACAGGAAGAACTGATGAAAACACAACCTGCACTTCCAGGTCATTCACCTTTTTACCCAGAGCCACATAGTGTCTTTTAACATATTCTGGGCTGAGCAAGGCAGTACCGTTTATTCCCACATGGATGAGCAAGAATGGAAAATAATCCATAGGCTTGATGAGTCTTCCTACCCTTTCCATCACATCCTGGATGCATGCACCCAGCAGACAGCATACCTTTCGAGATGACAAGTCCAGTTGGCACAGCTCTCAGTAGAGAATCCCCAATTAACAACATACACCTTCTCCTATATTGGGGAGCAGAAGCTTGAGTCCTTTCATCCATGGGGGCCTGAGAAATTTCCTTCAATTTTTGTGGAGGCTGGGGGAAGAGCCCTTGTTACAGTGGCCCAGAATCAATATTTGTGAGGAGATCCTGAAACCAATTGCTTAGCAACAGAGGCTCAGAATATCTCCTGATTTTCCTGCTCCTGTGTGTTACATTCTTCCATGTCCCCTCCTCCTGTTTTGGGTGCTCCTCCATTTCCTGAAATACCTTTCTTTTCACCTCCTGTTGCCCTCTCAGGAGGGTTTCATGCATTCTGTCCATGAAATCTTCCCCTTCCCTTAAAAAGTGGTGTGGACAAGCATGCCTCAACTCCCTGTATCTTCTCCTCCAGTAGGGCTACCAAGTTACACTTGCTGCCAGTGTAGTTGCTGTTACCCTCAGGTAGGAATACGAACATGCCACAGACTTCGCACGTCACTGCCTCAGCTCCCTCACCGGCATTGCTGCTGCAATCCATTTCAGAATTAGTTCTGTTTATCTTGTACTTCCCTGATAACTCCCCTGCCAAACTGCCTCTCAAGACTACTCATGAAAGGTTTGCAGAAGCAAAAGAACTTAAGAAATATAGGATGTAAGAGCTACTCAGCAACCTACAGGGCCCCCAGGTCAGACCCCCAGGCTAAGAGCCATAGCATTAGAGCCCCTGAACTCTCACCCGTTGGCTCATGCCAAAGGCTCACACCTCTGGCGAGGAGGAGCCTTACACAATCGAAGGCTCACCCAGCAGAGGATGGGGCCAGCTCTCAGGCAAGGCAAAACTGCAAAAAGCTACAATCAGTTACACGCAGGCAAAAGAGACAAACAGAAACCACACTTCCTCAAACAGACACCACTATCCAATAGGCTATACACACCCTCAAACCCTGTCCTCCCACACAGTAGCCTCAGCTAATTCTTCTCAGCAGTTAAGGAAAGGCAAATAATAAAAACACTCACCACTCCAGCAGAAGCTCCCACTCCTGCTCATTCTCAGATACCAGCTGAATTTGGTCTGAAGAATTGTGCTTTGCTCATGAAAGCTTGGGTAGAACATCCGCCTCATCACACCTACCTCACAATCACTTTAAATGGAAATCTTTGATTTCCACTGGTTGGCCTGGGGTGCCTGCCAAGCTGTTGTGGCGTAACTTTGGGGAACCCCTGTTGAAATTCTGGAGATTCCCCCCCTATTTTTCTCTTATTATCCTTCAGAGACAGAGACCTTTGGAGACTTGGGGGTCTTCAAGCATAGGGGGGATTGTTTGCCTTGCTTCCATTGTCTGGGGGGGGGGCTCTGCCCAGGTGACGTTTCCCTGTGAGTTTGCTGTCACTGGCTTGTTCCTGAGCAGTTTTATGGATTCCTGTAAGTGCAGCTGTCTTTTCCAGACAGAGCCCTGGGGAGACCTTTCTTGGAGATCAGTAACCCCAGAAATGTAAACCCACCCACCCCGCAACTTAAAGAGATTGAGAGTGAGGTTCCCTGTGCATTTGGTTTGTGTAGCTTGCAGGGGGTCCATTCTACACACTTTTGAACCTGTGCCTGACATTTCTCCCAAAAGCACTTTTCTGGCTTGACCTTAGTCCTGTTGGTTTTGCAGTGTCATAGTGGCACTTGTTCTGCTGGGCACATTACACTGCATAAATGCCCTCCACCTCCAGTTTCTACTGAGCGATTCTCTGGTTTGACCTTATCCTCACCAAACTTGGAGGGCAGGTAGAGAAGATTCAGCAGG